ACGTCCTCATCGACCCGGTCGAGGAAGGGGACTTAGATACGCCGGACCCACCGCCGGGGGTCCCGCCGGACAACACTACACCCACAGTTAGTGTAACAACAAACACAATAGTTCGCCCTCGCCTCCGAGCACGGCGACACCAACACAACGCGTACACAAGGTACACCCGCGTTCCAGGGCCGTTCTCACCTCCCCCAGCCACCGATTAGCTAAAAACACAGTCGACGGCCATCGGGGTCTCGGTCCGCACCGCAACTTCGATGGCCCTTAGATGACATGTCGTAGTTAAACGCACGCATGAGCACATGCGCGGCCCTACCCACAGCGGAGGGCCCAAACCCGTGGGTTCTGGCTAGCCCACCGGTTCTGCGTCAGATGAAGCTTTAATAGTCTCGGGACTGAAAGCAAAAACATCAGTTAATACAAGATACAAGATACATTTCATCTATCGATAGTCATGTTTTTAATCTTCCACCGTTTCGTAATGAGGTTCCTCTAACGGAGAAGGAACAGGCGAAAAAAACTCCGTAGGTATCCTCTTTTTCATAATTTTCTTTTTCTCAAACAGAAATACATTGTTATATAGTACAATTTTTTTTATTTAGAAACAGCTTAGGAGCGATCATCTCATTCTCAGGGGTTATTATCGTTAATGCACTCTTTTATATTGTAATAACCCTTTTTAAAAAGTTTTTATTTAATAAATTTCTTAAACCTGTTAATACATTAACTGGGATTTTGTTTGTAGAAGCGTGTACACCGTCCCATGAACGAGTTACTTGCTCTATGGAGTCTAGTAACTGGCGTTACAAGCTTGTGTTTGTTCCTAGTGTTTACGTTATGTACCTACATCAGTATTTTTATTAAAATTATTAATGTTTCTACGTACATACATTACATTTTCATAACTCAATAGCTTCCTCTAATTAACTTATGGGTAAATTAATAATGGGCAGGGCCGAGCGATCCACTCATCATGTAAATACCGCTGATTGGACAAGTTATGCAATCTTTTTCCTGTGACGCGTTCCCAAAGGGTAAAACAGTACTTTACTAAGACCTTTGTCTGTCTGCCCGTCTGTCATCAGGCTGTATCTCATGAACGGTGATAGTTAGGAAGTTGAAATTTTCGCAGATAATGTATTTCTGTTACCGCTATAACAACACATACCTAAAAACAGAATAAAAAATATTTAAGTAGGGCTTCCATACAACAGACACGATTTTGCCGTTTTTATAGATAACTAGCTGCTGCGCGCGATAACGTCTGCGTAGAATTGGCTGAAGGCGTAACATTCAGTCAGAAAGACAGATATACATAAAATATGTATATAAATTATAGCCCATGTGTTATTCTGATTTATAAGTTATATTATTGTAAAGTTTCATTAGAATCCATTCAGTAGTATATGCGTGAAAGTGTTACAAACATTCATCCATATATAGAAACTTTCGCCTTTATAATATTAGTAAGAATGGTACGGAAGCATCGTGCGAAGCCGAGTCCCACTTGGCCGGTTTTCAATACTTCAGTCACTGAATCGTTGCGGGGAAGTAAGCTCCGAAAAGGTAAAACACAAGAATGAAATAGGTTTTTTTTATGATTTACAAAAGGACAGTCTACGTGACATCGTTTTTTACGTACGCAGCAACAAGAGAATTGTAGGCTGAGACGACCTTTGTTGGCTGTCGGAGCTCATACAAGTGCGTCGACAAGAATAAAACAGAATTGACATTAAAAATGGTGAAAACATATTATGTGTCGTGTGGTGTATGAATATTGAATAGAATCGATTAATCAGAACTAGTAGTCAATGGTAAACGACGCAGGTTATTTTGCGACATTAATATTTAAAAAAATGAAGTAGTCAAAGTTCAAGGTCACACATATATTGCTGTGTATTATCATGTATTGCTGAACAAACTGTAAATATAAAGGTAATATAAATTTATGAAATTATGTAGTTTTTATTATAAGCAAAGTCGATTATTAGTTACAATCATGCAATACTAACATTGTTTAGTAAATATCCTGGTCGGCAAAAAAGTGCGTATTCGTGATGCCCAAGAGATGCAGCAGATCATTAAAGACGCTGCGAAGGAAGAAGTTTTAATTGAGTAAAAATGGGAAAGAATTGGAAAAAAATTGTTAAACGCGATTTGAGTCCGTTTGTCCCCGACTGGGAACGAAGGTGTAATGAAAAACGTTGATGACTCAAGATTTTGCTGTAATTTTATGTATGTATGTATCATTGTTAATAGACTTCCGTCTAATGTATATCTATGAAGCCGTTAGAAAAATCTCGTGGGACGCGATAAATTTGGGCGTTCTCAGGTAAAACAATGAACGACGACGGAGATCTGGTAGCTGAGAGGTAATATCAAGAATAATGATTAATTTCCTCTGGCGAGTTGGTATACGAAAACCTTGGGATTAATATTAAATAATACGGGGTTATTCCATAAGATTTTTTGTTTTGTAAATCTTTAAATTTTCAAGTTCAACGAGCCGGTTCTACTTTAGGAACAGCGGATCATACAAGGCCGTTTTTTTGCTAAGCCTGCTATTTCCCATCGATTTGAATGAAATACTGAAAAAAACAAGTACCAGGCATAAGCTTGTTTATTTGTACCTTGCACTTTAATGCCACCGTAATTTCAAGGGCTTTTAGAGACCTCCTCCTCCTGAGACGCGGTGCCATTAAACAGGGAGGTCTGGCCCCCTCCATGTCTCGAGGGGCAGCACAGGCATCGCGTCTTTAAGGAGGCTCGTTGAGTAAGTAATAAAATAACAGTCTATAAAAGTCCCCCTGCTGACCAAAGTCCTCCTCTGTTCATAGCGTATAGGAGCATAATCCACCACGCAGTCAACCAGCGGTTTGGTGGACTTCATATATCTTCGAAATTATTTTTTTTGTTGCAATTTCAAAAATATGCAGGTTTTCTCACGACTTTTCCATTCCCCACTGAGCACGTGATAAGTCAGCACTTAAAAATAACAATCTTATTGATGCCGGCACCGTGGATTGAACTCAGGTTTCTCAAGTGTTATGAATTAAAAACGAGCGGCCGGATATTGGGCTATCATGGCTACTAAGTGATTAAGTCTTTTTTGAAGTTATGCTTCTTTTGGCGCGTTAGGGAATGATGAGAGTAAATTTTTACGATGCGCGCGCACACCGTCACGAAAAACCGATACCCTGAAGTTAGCTAGACATCTACGTATGTTTCCGTGAGAACTGACAACTGTATTCACGATATTTATTTTGTGATATTTAAATAAACTTTATTTAACTACTTAACTAGATGATGCGTTATAATAAAACTCTCAATTAATATATAACTTTTTTCTATTGTTAGTGTCGTTTTTTCTACGAACGTGGAATAAGGCGAAATACAAAATTTTTGAAAAGATTTTTATCTTGTTACGCCAAAGAAGTATTATTCTAATGCGTATACATAAGCGTATACACAGACACTTTTTTTTTATGTGACGAGGTGGCAAGCCACCTGGCGGTTCTCCTGATGTTTAGTGATATCCCTTTGCAACTCCCGGTTGTAGCTGCAGATGCGTTTCCGCCTTATAATAAACTGGGCTAACTGAAAACTGCTAAAATTTACGTAGTAAATTGTACAAAATCCATAGGCTGCTGAGGCCCTGTCTGTGCGTGCGTGGTTATGCGTTGGGTTCTCATGGATAATGTGGTAATTAAACGACCTGAACGGATATCGAAACGATATAATCCAATACAGGGTTAAAGCCATTAGCGATGGCGCAATGATTGGCTGTTTCTTAAACGTGACCGCTGATTATGTGATTACGACACCGCTTAAGACAGGTTTAATCTATATCTTCTTATATATAAAAATGGATTGCTGTTTGTTAGTCTCGCAAAAACTCGAAATCGGCTGGACCGATTTGGTTTTGAAACATTTGTGGCAGTCCAGGGAAGGTTTAAATATGAGAAATTATGGAAAAATTGCATGGAAAATCGAAATAGCGACAATTTTATTTTCCCATACAAACTGTACCTGTCAACTATGTCTGTGTAAGCTGTCAAACACTTTATGTGTGCGTTCCGATTTCTCTAGAAATAATTTATATAGAAAAACAACATTTGCCGAGTCAGCTAGTCTTATATATATATATAAAAATGGGTTGCTGTTCGTTAAGGCCCATTTACACGATGCCATTTTCTTGTACATACAAGAGCAATAATTGAATGCAATAAATTGCGCGCAATAATTGTTTAGACCATGCAACTCATTTATTGCTTCAATTTAATTGTATACAACAGGCAAGAAACTGGCACCATGTAAATGGGCCTTTAGTCTCTCTAAAACTCGAGAACGGCTGGACGGATTTGGCTAATTTTGGTATTTAAATATTTGTGGCAGTCCAGAGAAGGTTTAAACGATGAGAAATTATGGAAAAATTGTATGAAAAATCGAAATAGCAAACACGCGATAAACGCGATAAATCCGTAAAAATTAGTTTCATTTATAATGTGTAATAATGTGTAATACACGAAATTGTCATAGCAACCATTTTATTTTCCCATACAAACTGTTCCTACCTGTTTGACGTTTTATGTGTGCGTACCGAAAATTCTTTGCCCAGCAGTGGAACATATAACTTTACTTAATACCGTCGTGGTCATAAAATTAAGGTTAAATATTCGACCGTTCTCAATCCATTCCGCTTAGGGGCCATCCGTTAATCACGTTAAGGTTTTTTTTCATTTTACCCCCCTCCTCCCACTTGGTGACACGTGGTGAGGTTTAAGAGTAAATTTTATTAGAGTTAATTTGGTTTAGAATTAGGAAAAAATAAATACACGTGATATCTTACTACAACCCCCTCCCCCGTTGTGATATTTCGTAATTTTTGCCAAACCCCCCTTCAAGCCTCACGTGAATAATGAACAGCAACTTACAATAAACATGATTAATGACAAATTTACACAAGAGAGCGGGCTAACTATTATTATCTCACTCACATGGTGAAATCGAAGTGTTCCGAAGCGAGTATCTCTGGCAGAGTGCCCCAGAGGGTCTGGTGCAGCTCTCGCACCGGCGCGCCCCACCAGCTCGCGCGCCAGTACCGCACTGTGGAGGACACGCTGCAGTGCACCCCTGCGGACGAACCGTAACGCTCTTCACACACACACAACAACAACAACAACAGCCATAGACAACAATTTCATTTTTGACAAAACCTGCCTCGGGACGTTTTCGATTTCAATCATACAGACATAAGCACGGCGTTTCTTTAGTTTGTGTTGATTGGTTTGGGGTGTGGGGTGATACTGTAGGTTCGATGCCCACTACTAGAAAAATATTATGTGACCAGTGCAGTATTTTTCTAGCGTCTGGGTGTTTATATTTGTATAATATGTATTTGTTTACGAAAGAAAAGTATGTTTAGTTATAAATTTAAAGTTTTTATAGTGCTAATCTCTGCACTTAATATTAAACAATAAAACTTGTAGAAAAAGTGCTAAAAGATTGTCGCCGCTGTGGGAATCGAACCCACGTCTTAGGCATTCGCGGCCTGACGCTCTAGTGATCGGGTAGTGATCTTAGATTGTAAGAGATTCCTAAAATGTCATCGCACCAGCTGCTGGATTCCAACTGACAACCTTATTTCGCGAGTAAAACGTAGCAATCCAACAATGCCATAAGACAGTGGAGTCCAAATTGTATCTAAATTGTAACATATTTCCCAAAATGTATTATTTAATCACTTATATCGTTGGCTAGATCATAAGTTTAACAAGCCAGCTTCTACTAACGAAATAAGTTCAAGATTGGTTTCATATAAATAAAGTTATTTAAATATGAATTTCTATAAAAACCATTTTTTTTGCCACCGAAAAACAAAACAGACTTCAAATGTCTCGCTCTGTATTCATTTTCTAATTGATTTTCAGCAGTTCCCCAAGTGTCTCCGGAGACCAAGATCCAATTATCGAATACCAATGAAATTAACATGGGACCAAATGGGACCAAATGGGAAGCACCAGCTTTCAAATAAAATAAATAATCATCAAAATCTGTTCACTCGATCGAAAATTATGAGTTAACAAACATGAAAAAAAAAAAAAAGTCGAATTGAGAACCTCCTTTTGAAGTCGGTTAAGAATCCTAGCCATTCAAAATTTTCATTGTAGATATCGCCTTCTGCACATCATAGTATATTATGCATTATTAATTATTATAAGGGTGTAAAAAGAAATAAGCAACTCCATCCAAATTATACCATGTGAAATATACATAGCTATTCATATTTTTATTATTGCACAATAATATCTTATTCTTTTATTAACTTATCGCTAACAATAGGATCTAAAACCAACAGATAAAATATGTGAATAACAAGAGAATAACATTATAAAAAAGTATTAACATACAAAAAGCGGATCCATTAAGTCACCTAATGACAATGAAGGCGTCGCCTAATCATAAACACCATCTATTCAAATTTAGACGACCATCAATAGCCTTAACCTCGTCTCGCGGTCAATTCGGTGTATAAACATGTCGACCTGCCTCGAACCGGCTCTTCCAAACTTTCGCTCTCGCGGCCAGCTTTCTCGATCTGTATTTTTGGCACGCTGCTCTCGAAACTCGATAGCGCGGCTCAATAGAGCGGTCTGTCGTGACAGCGTGTCAGAGCGTCTGCTCAGTGGGTGCTTTCGCTTTGGTCTATTAATAAGACCACTTTGCTGATTTTGTCGAGGTCTATTTTCATTTTTACGCACTCTTTATGTTTGTAGTTAAATTAGGAAGTGAACGGCGTGAAAATAAATACGCGAAGCAGTTTTATTCAAATCTATAGTATTCGCGTAATTTTTCCTTCCCATCGGTTTCGTAGAATTAGCGGTATTTTGGTGAACTGAGTCGAGGTTTTTTCTATTGAATTCGAATGCAATGATATCCGTATCATTAATTCACTTAATTATATCTCTATTAAAAGCTGTATTGGTTAGAATAAAGTACCTTATAATTATACTAGCTTTTCGCCCTCGGCTTCGCTAGCGTTGAAGCCCATAAATAAATATCTTCCCCCTTTAAGAACCCTTTTTCCAATAAAAAAATAGCCTATGTCCTTTCTCAGGCTCTAGACTGGGTACTAAAATTCATTTAAATCGGTTCAGTAGTTTTGGCGTGAAAGCGAGAAAGACAGACAGAGCTACTTTCGCATTTATAGTATTAGTATGGATTATTCTTGCTCGTGATGATAAGTGACTACACCTATGAAATGAACAAAACATGAAAAGACATGGCCAGAACGTGGACCTGAGTCGTTGGCAATTTTAATGACACATACGTCTTCCATCCATTCGAACTGTTACATTACTCAGTGCCTACAGTGTAAATCTTCTTTTATGTGAGAAGGTGGAAAGGCAGACGGCGGTTCACCTTATGTTAAGTGGACCGCCGCCCATGGCCATTTACAAAACCTTTAGGGTCTCAATAAAGTAGGGCCCCGGCTACCTCACTCACCAGACGAAACGCAGAAGTATAACACTTGCACTTCACGCCGGTCTTCCGCGACAAGTCCCCGAACGGACCTGCCCATTCGTGCAACAGCGAAGATTGTTGCGTGGCCCCACCACTGTAGCAGTAGCTAGCTTCTAGCTATTCCTGTTTCTCTCAGCTATGTCTTACGGCCTATTTGTATGCGTGTTGTATACGAGCGTAGTTTAATCGGACAATGTTATTTCAAGTTCACCTCTAGGCCTTAAATTGGCGTGCGTTGCGACATGTACGTCGTGCGACGCATACCGATAAAATACAAACACTTCTATCGGTATTTTATTTTTACCTAATTCATTATCCAGAGATCCGATAAAGCACTGGATAATGACCTCTCTGCCTTGATCACGCACTAAGCTGTTTCATATTCGACACTAGACTTATAATAATACCGGCCAATGATCCATTTGTCTTTTCTTGCCTCGTCGTCGCCACTGTCTTAATCCATCCCCTGTCATCCCCGGCCTGTACATCCACATTTATACACTATATTGCATCTCTGATATAAAAGAATATAACAATTCTATGTTCTAGCATGGAAATAATCGTATACCATGTTGTTATCGGCTCATTCCATACGTAATAAAAGCGTTCATTTTAATGATAAAATTTTTTATTCCAATTCGGGATAGTTTGTACCTAACGATATTATACAGCGTGTCGTTACCATCGCGACAATAAATGAACACACGTCTATCGCTACTTGCCAATAATCATAAAAAATATTAAAAATATTTTTCAAACAAACCAATTAATTAAAAAAGAAACAAAATTTGTAACATCCTATACAACTCGCGCCACAGCGTCGCATTACAAACCTCTCCTTCTAACAGTATGTTTTGTCTCTTTTAAATTCATTCAACCCATTCATATGCTTTGTGACCTTTACAAATGAACTTTACGTTACAGTTTTATACATAAGGGTGTTCTAAAATTCTTTGTTTTGGAAAATTTTATAACTCTGTAAATATTGATGTTTAAAGAATGTAAATGTTTAATACAATTTTAAAAAGTTATCCCCTATACGTGTGTTCATTTATTATCGCGATTGTAAAGACAAGCTGTTATATAATTCTACATGAACGGTATGACCTTATTTCTTTGTAGTTGTGTTGTAGTAAAAGCACATAGTTGTGTTACTACAACACAAATACAAAGGAACTATACATTATTATGTATGTAGAGTAATTCGACTTTAAAGACTTATTATATCCGTAACAATAATGAAATATATATATATATATATGTCTGCGCTACAGACAAGTTAAAATTATAAATAAATTTAATATTATTAATATGTATAAATTAACGTGTAAACCATAGACTGTCTTTATACTTGTAACACTCGCGTTGGAAGTCGACCGTTATATTTTAAATATATTGGCTCAGGATGGTTAACGACACACATTCAAATCAATACATTCGCACTGATCTTCCAACCGTAACGGACTCGCATTCGAATACAAACTAATTATTTCTTAGTTGAAATTATATTAATTTAACACCTTCAGAAGCGTTATTTCTTCTTCCTATCCTGAAAGGAACTTCTATATTATTATATGTATGTACCTGAAGATAATATATATATATATATATATATATATATATATATATATATATATATATATATATATATATATATATATATATATATATATATATATATATATATATATATATTAACGCTTAAATTATTATGATAAGGCGCGGCATCACATGGTGACAGCAAGTTATCCTTATGAAAGGTAAATTAACCACGAGAAAGTATATCATTTTATAGTGTATATAATTATTATAGGATCAAATATGATAATATTCAAATTGGGCTTATAATAATTATTAATTTTCGCGGAGACGTCAGCGGTGACCTTTGTCTGTGGCAGCTACACCCACAGCTAGCGTCTGGTTTTAATTCTTGAATGGTTTAAATTAGTTGTTTTTTTACAATGAGGTGATTTTTACTTCAAAAGACGGGCCACGTGTTGTTAAGTAATCGCCGCCCATGGACAAACGAGACGTATCGAGCTGCTGACCTAGGCCTGCGACCGATGCGAGTTGCTGTGAAGCGAGCAGGCGAGTAAAAAATGTTGAAGTAACCGGAATAGCTGCTATCCAAGTGGCACGTGTAAATAACTCGTAAGATAAGTCCATACGGCGCGAGCTACTGGACTACACCTGCTCGGCAGGCTCACTCGCACGATGGCTCGCGTGTCAACCAACCAGCTACTACTCACTAACTAAACATTTCGGCAAAATTTTAAAATGGCCGCCGCTCACTTTGTACTTAACTAGCTGTTCCGTGAGATATCAGCCTGATATATTTCTGTTTCGCCCCCTATCGTTCGATCTGTTATATGGGACTTGTTAAACCGCTTTTTAAAAAAGAAATTTATTGATAGAGACACTGATATAATTAACAAGGAAATGGAACAACTCCCGAAAAATGGCACGGCGCGTCGCGTATGGATGTTGGACTCGAACTGAACTGCAGTGAGCTTGAGATATGCTCCTGAGGATAGGATTGCTTACTAAGCTCTTGGCGTCATCTAATCCTTTAAACGAGCAATTCTTGTATATATATATATAATCGGAATCTCGGAAACGGCTCCAGCGATTTTCATGAAATTTAGTATGTGCATAGATTCGGGGGCGAAAAATCTAGCTAGGTTTCATTTTTAGAAAATGTCCTTTTATCCCTGTTTTCAGGGAAGGAAAAATATCATTCGAATATGACGGTGAATTTCGCCGCAAGAGAAAATGTCATAATAGCTCGGTCGGTAATCGGGCGGCCCCAAAACAGACGGCCGTGGTTCGCGTCACGATCATTTCACATTTATTTTTTTACTTTTTTTTCGATTCCAGATCATTGCTTTCTTTATTTTTAATTTTTTGTCGATTTGTTCTTTTGTTATTTTTTTCCCTTTTTTTTTAAAGTTCTTTCTTTTGTGAAAAACATCAGTTCATATTTTCTTATCATTACGTCAGTAAGATCGAAAAATATTATGCATGTTTCATTACTCAGTAATTTGTATCTAAATGTAATTTCCAAAATACACGATTTACCAAAAAAACAAAAACAAACCTCCTCCGGGTACTGACTATTATATACAATTAGTGTATATAACAGATCGTAGCGTGATGTTTAATACTCTATAAACTACCTCAAGAATTTTGTTATCAATTGCAAAAAGATTTTTTTTAAAATAAGACTGGTAGTTACAGATATTAGCGTGTTCAAACAAACAGTCTTCGGCTTAATTATGTTAGTATTGATTAGACTCAAAACCATTTTTATTCATTTGTACTCGTTTCAATCACTTACGAGCATCAAAATCCAACTACCAATTTCAAAATGTAGAAATGTCCAGAGAAAGAGCAATAAGAAAGTCTGCGAAAGTTCATTTTCTATAAGCGAATCCAATCGCCGGCATACGATCCATATTATATTAATGCGTTGGGTTTCAACTTAGGGTTCATGAATGTAGAACAACACATAAAAAAAAACAAGGGAATTCTCGCCTTGACCGTGAATGGGATTAAAAAATAAGCGCAATGTCTACAAATTGAATCACGTAATGCGTCGGCAACACCTAAACAATTTCACAGTATAGTTGTATGTTATTGTTTATGGTCGGGATTGAGTACCGTCTATTACAATGATAGGTGGGGTTTAATCTAGTGTCGTGATGACCGTTTCCATTGTGACTCATCGGATACAGAGTCGAGAGTCGTTTATTTTTAACATTAATGAAATTGTAAACCTTTCATCAACTGTCTGCATTAAAAAAAAATATTTTCCTAGTTTTAGTTGTGAGTCATCGATGATGATGGGCGATATAGCTCGTAATGAGCATCACACATTGTATGTTCCATGACAGGCTCACCAGCTATTTAAAGTTGAATAGGTAAACTCTTCTTTTTAACCGAGTTCAAAAAAGGAGGAGGTTTCTCAATTCGACCGTACATATTTTTATTTTTTTATGTGTGGTCGGGGATAACTTCGTCATTTATGAACCGATTTTGATGATTATTTTTTTGGTGGAAAGGAGATATCCCAAGGGTGGTACCATGATAAGAAAACCCTGATCTGATGATGGCATGCCAGAGAAATCGAGGGCAATCCTCAAATGTTATAGGCGTTGATAATGTTTCATTTGTTTCCTGTTTGAAGTCGGTTTTTTTTGTTCAAAATTATATAAGACAATTAAAACAAGAATACCGCGTAAAGGTAATTCTTATGTCAGGCGAGATCAGACCGGAGAGGGATGCTGTAGATAGATATTGTAAAGCTCGGCTTAATTATATGAAGGTATCTTATCTTATCAGGTTAGTTATATGCGTAATAAACCCTAACCATGAGCTTTAGCTAATCACACTAATCTCAAATGAGACGCGCTGTATTGAATAACCCTCATATGAGTTCTTTGTTTTAATAGTTGTAACTTACAGTCAAAGTGAGATCTTTGTTAATATAAAAAAACAGTTCTTGATCGCACTCTCACCGAGGGTGATGCAGCCGTAGGTTGAGGTCACCCTGTATCGATAGTTCTCAGCTAGCATCAGCTAGAACAATGAGATTTCCGCGAAGAGACGTCCCGTCTTATCTATAAGTCCATGTTTATTTATATCTTGTGTAAAGATCAATGAGCCGAGCCGTAGCGGTGGCGTGCAAGCGACGCCCTTGCGCAGTTCGCCTTGAGTCGTACAACGTTTACACGAGAAAAGATCGAAATGGCAAAACGCTTTGTCGCCGCGCCAGGAACAGTCCCTTTACTTAAATCCTTGGTGTCCTTTACTTACCTTGTAGTGTATTTATCGATTAGTATTTTCTGTGATTTCGCCGTAGTATTGATAATATTAGCTGCTAACGTATTCAGAGCTATTAACGTTTCAATAAATTGGTATCTAATGTACGGAACGACTGTATAAAATAAACTAAATTACATTGATATTTACATACTAAACCATACTTTGTAATGTACTAGTTTGGAATAACTATTCCGAAAAAGAAACGTCTCCGTGTTAATCTCGCTTAAGAGTTATATGGCGCGTATTGTGCATATTCACTTACATAGTCACGTAAATAGTCTGACTAAATGTTGAGTCACTCTAAGGAGTAACTGCTTTTCATGTATGACGTTAGACACTAACCGCTATACGCGAGCGGCTGGTTCTCCATCAGCTTGAAGGTGAAGGGAATGTGCACCCGCTGCATGAGCAGACGCGGCGGCTGCATGGAGCGCGCCCACGCCTCCTCCCTCCCCTCGCCCACTATGCCGATCACTTCCATGTTCCTGCGGGGGAGAACAGAATTAGCTCCGCGTCATGCCAAAGCTAAAAGAAGGCAGTCCTCTTTTTAACTTAATCCATCTGAGTCTAGGACGGATGGTTGATGATTGATGGGCTGATTATTAATTCCAATTTCTCCAAATTCTCATCATCGATTCGCTTCAAATGCCGCGGTGGGGGAATATATTGTTTTTTTTTTCTTAAGTGAGAATGTGGCATGCTAACTAGCATTTCACCTGAAGTTAAGTGATAACTGCTGCCCATGGACAATTGCGACAGCCGTAAGTTTGTAGACGCGTTACCATTTTTTAATATAGTGAGCCACGGTTACCTCACTTACCAGACGAACCGCAGAAGTGTAACACTTCCAATTTACGCCGGTTTTCTGTTACTTCTCCGGACGGTCCTGTCCACTCGTGCAACAGCGAAGGCTGTTGCTTGGCCCTACTACAGTAGGGTTATCCAATAAATATACAGCGTGTCTTTAAAATTCCGACAATAAATGAACACACATATAGATGATAACTTTTTAAAATTGTATTAAACATTTACTTTCTTTAAACATCAATATTTACAGAGTTATTAAATCTTAAAAAAAAAAAATTTTAAAACACCCTTACGTATAAAACTGTAACGTAAAGTTCATTTGTAAAGGTCACAAAGCATATGAATGGGTTGAATGAATTTAAATTAGTTTATTTGAAAAATATTTTTTTTTTTTATTATGGATATTTTAACGTTAATATTTTTTATGATTATTGGCAAGTAGCGTTAGACGTGTGTTCACTTATTGTCGCGATGGTAACGACACGCTGTATAACTTCGTATTACTGGTGTGTGAATTATGTCGATGTGGCCTATGGCCTATACTCCCTAAACAGATGACGCCTGGGTACAGCCTTGCTATACACGTGTAAGCAACCTGGTGAGATAAAATTAGGTGTACTACAACACGTTTGCCAACACAAAACAATGGTAGAACAATAAACCTGTTCCACCATTTGCTAGCTCTCTATGCCGTATTGTTCCAGGCACTTAACACGAGCTCGTTACGAGAATACCTTTGTTGTTGTCACAATAGAATAACTTTTTTTTTTAAACTGGAGGTGGTGTCAAATTAAGTTGCGTTCTTTTTTAATTGGTGTTAATGCATATAAACCTTAGTCATTACACATTCGAAAATTGCACATGGACGAGCAACCAAGTCAGGGCGATTATCCGTATCTATCCACGTTTTATAAATATTTATGGAACTCATGAATCGATCACAAGACTTTAATTAAATTTAACAACTGCACCAGTTGATTGTCTCACAATCTGATAAATTCAATCAATATAGTGTGCTTATTACAAAATCGGTGATTATGATATTACAGTATATTAACAGTTGTCTGCGCCCAAGTTTTTATGAAGCAATTTATTGCACAGACTCAACAACGCATCGTTATAAAATCATATTTGAACGTCTGTAAAATAGTATCTCCCTGCGACACAAATCATTCAACTTTGTAACGGACAACATTGCGCTCTCACATATTTTTATATTATTTTCACTGTGAAGTAATTTCAAAATAAATGTAAATTATCCAGACACTTTGTGTTTGCATTTATGTCCAATACGAGACATAAAAAAATTGGCGACCGTGACAGGACAAGCTAGAAATAAGACGAATTTTCAAGACGTTAAGGACGCCGATCAACCATTATATCGCAGCCACCTGTCGTCTCCTAAACCATTTTGCCCCGGGATATTTCGAAGAATAAGCCATTGCAGCTATCGCCGGACAGTGATCAGCCATCAGCGTCGCTCCGCAGCAAAGCCAATGCAGCTAAGTGTCTTCCCAAAATTCCCGTCTATTCAACGCTAACTACCATAAAACCTTATTTCTACTTGTGCAAACTTCATTTATTATTACTTTAAAACATTTAATTACTTCATATTATTAAAATCATTCACGATATTTCATTAAAATTAACAATTTTTAATATTTTATAAAGTGGGGGTACTTTGATATCTCATTAACTTCTTTGTTCTTTGTGAAATATTTCAATGCTTATTTCCTACATTCACATGAAATACTCTTGAAAAGTCTTTGAAAAGCTATTTCAACACGATTTGCCGAATATTCCAGGGAACGAGTTCCGAACGTGTAATTCCGGTGTACGGAGTGCAATAATTGCAACGCTTGCCTACCAGGTGACGCCAAGAAGGGCACGTGAGCTAAATTCTTTGCGTATTATATTTTCATTATCCTTCATCTTATTTATTCTAGAAATTTTTAGTTAAAATTAGTTAATAATTTTGTTGAATTTAACTTCGATATTTTTATTTGAATTTTCATACTAGAAATTTTAACATAATATTATATTTAGTTTATTGCGTTAACTTATTAATATGAATAAAAATAAAGATTTTGGTGGGGAAATGAGCCACAAATACACAGCAAATTTGCAAGACTTGTTACTAAAACGCAGCTCTGTAAGGGGACAAATTACCAAATTTAAAAATTATTTAACAAATATATCATTAAAGGATACTTTGTCTGCAATCGAATTATCGGAATTAACATTAAAGCTTAGCAAATTTGAAAAATTATCAAATAAATTTGATGATTTGCAAAACCAGATTGAGCTCTTAAATTCATCAAGCTTAGATAGCGAAATTGATGAACGAGACGATATTGAACAATTATTTTTTTCTAACATTGCTATTGCTCAAAACATTATACAAATTAATCATCCGAAAATTTCTAGCAATGATTGCAATAGAGAACCTAAGTTTGATAGCTGTTCTTCATCTCCTGGTAGTGAACATCGTGAAGTTAATTTTAAATTGCCACAAATTCAAATCGCGAATTTTGACGGAGCTTATTTCCGCTGGCTTGAATTTCGAGACACTTTTTTATCGCTGTGAATTAAACAACGAACGTATAGCACCTGTACACAAATTCCATTACTTAATTTCTTATTTAGAGGGCGATGCATCTCGTATTATTTCTAATTTGGAAGTGTCGAGTGCTAATTACTCAACTGCGTGGAGTTTGTTGTGCGAACGGTATGACAACAAACGGCAACTTATTAATCATCATTTAAATTCTTTGCTTAATTTACAACAATTGTCAAGAGAATCCGTTAAGTCACTTCGTTTTATTGTAGATCACGTAACAAAAAATTTACGTGCATTAGCCAGCTTAGGGCAGCCTACTGACAAGTGGGATGTGCTTATCGTACATATAATGAGTTCGCGACTTGACAGCCGAACTTTAACTAAGTGGGAAGAATGGCGTGGTACGCTTGATGATGTGCCTAATTTGCAACAATTTCACAAATTTTTAATAGACCGTGCCGATGTTTTGGAGTCGTTGCAAAATTCGTCTAGCATTAATAACAAGGTTTCAAGGCCATTAGGATTAGGATCATTTAATAAGCCTGAACGACCACAAACAAAAACCTTTGCTTGCAGTAGTGAAACAAATATTACTAATTCTTTTTCTTGTGTCGTTTGTCATGGTGATCATAGAATTTATGATTGCGCTAAATTTAAATCTAAGAGTGTACATGATCGTATCTCCGAAGCTAAAAAATTAAAGTTATGTTTGAATTGCTTACGCTATGGTCACGATGTGCGAAATTGTAGGCTAGGGCCGTGTCGCGAATGTAAGAAAAGACATAACAGTCTTTTGCATTTACCACTTCCAAATCATAAAGGTTCTGACCAAGGCTGCTACATCCTGTGCTGTGACGTCAGAAGGAACTGTATCTAACTTTTCCCATGAAAACTCGACACACGTTTTACTATCAACCGCATTAATCAAAATATCAAATCCTAATACAACCAAATCCATGCGAGTGAAAGCATTATTAGACTGTGGTAGCCAGTCATCATTCTTAACACAATCCCTAAAGGACAAACTATCATTACAATCACACAGCAGCAATGTCGTTAATATTGTGGGGATTGGTAATCATCACACTGATAAATCAATTGATACTTGTGTGGCTCAAGTTAATTCCTTAACCGAACCTTTCAAGGTCACACACTCTTTCCTTGTTTTACCGGAACTAACAGACAATATTCCTAAGTTCACTATAGATATTAAACTATTAAACTTACCTAATAATATAAGGCTTGCTGACCATACATTTAACCAGCCTGCGCCGGTTGATATTCTCATCGGTGCCGAACTATTCTGGGACATTCTAGGCTGCAAGCAAATCACGCTTGGCCCTAACTATCCTAAACTTAGAAGTTCCAAATTCGGGTGGTTAATTTCAGGTCCAATTTATGCAAATCAATTCTCTAAATGTAACAATATTCTATGTCATTATTCAGCTACAATGTCAAATTCTAATACTGATTACAATATTATCAATCAACAAATGTCGAAGTTCTGGGAACTAGAAGAAGTTCCACGAAACCGTCATTTAAATCCAACAGAGAAGGCATGTGAAAAATATTTTACGAATCACACGTTCCGCCTTGAATCAGGTAGATTTTCTGTTAGTTTACCCTTCATAGATTCGCCTGATTGTTTAGGTGAATCTTACAGTCTCGCCAAAAGACGATTACTTAATCTAGAGAAACGTTTCAGAAAACAACCAGACGTTAAATTACAATATATTAAATTTATACGAGAATATGAAGAACTAGGTCATCTAACCGAATCAATTATTATAAAACCATTTCCTTCATATTTTCTTTGTCACCATGCTGTTTTTAAAAATAGCAGTGAGTCGACAAAAATTAGAGTCGTCTTTGATGGTTCAGCCCCTACATCATCTGGGCATTCCATCAACGACATCCTAATGGTAGGCCCAAATTTACAAGATAGTCTGTTCTCCATTCTTATTAGAGCTCGTCAGCACAAATATCTTTTAACCGGCGACATTGAAAAAATGTATCGTCAGGTTCTAGTACATGAACAGGATAGAAATATGCAACTTATATTATGGAGAGAAGACGAGTCTCTGCCTATCAAAACTATGATTCTCAATACAGTTACAT